AATTTATAATATTTGAGATTATTACATCATTTAATATCAAGTATATATTGATATAAATTGTAATATTTCTTCATTAAAGATCATGATATGATAGAGATATCAGTAGTTTTCTTTGTTTTACTAATGAAATTAAGATTAATAAATGAATTATTAGTCTTATCAATATAGATTACCTCTACTGGCTTCCCAAAGATAGGATCATGATGCTAAATGTTATATAGAGCTGTGCTAGCATAGTGAAAATTATGAGTTATCAAATCTGAATTGTTAACTTTATTTTGACTATCCAAGTATTTGTCAAAGTAGTCTATTGGTAATATAATTCTAGCAAGCTTTCCAGAAAGTATTGCTATTACTCTCTCAACTAGATTATATTTTGATTATTCAGAAGCATATGTATATATAGTCAGATAGTCTAAATTAAACTTCTTGAAAAATTTATAATATGATACTATATTTTTTAAATATCTAAAATTTTTATCAGATTCTCTATCAACTAATAATATTCAAATTGGTTTTACAGCATTATTCATCTTCAAAGCTTTAGTATATTATGCATTAGATATAAGAAAAGAAAGATCTTTCATATGAGTTATAGATAACATACCAACTAATCATTGAGAATGAATAAAAATTGCTAATTATTCAGATCAAAGATCATCTTTTGTTTCATTTAGTTGAATGATAAGATAGACTGATAGTATTAATTTTTGATTGCTTTTATAGAAAAAATTGTGATCAGACATATCAACTGGTTTGGTAATTGATTGTAAAGTACAAAAAGTTCTATCAATTGCAGGTATACCAAGATCTATTTTTGATTTATTATCTTGAGAGATTATAACAGATGCTTTAGCAAATGCTTGTGTAAATTATCTTGCTCCTTTGACAGAGACAAGACAATAGTATTCATCAGAATATTCTTTTGTTTCATTGCATGAAACTTCAGCTATTGTAACCCAAGCTAGATGATGATATACTTTTGCTGTAATTGAATTAAATTGATAAGAAAGAAGGTAATTATTCAAGATTATTTGAGCTATTTTTATTTGTAAGAAAAATCATGTATTTTACTAATTATAATTAGTAAAAAATTTAAGTATTATATTATTTTTGATTATCTATATATAATATAATTTATAAAAAATACTATTATAATATAAATACATAGGATCTAAGACTATTTCTAGCTTTCTTATAATAATAAAAATTTTATAAATAAGTCTTTTTTTATTTTTTCAAATTTTTTTTAACTCTTTTTCTCTATTCTTTAAAAACTTCTTGTATATTAATGATTACTTCTTGTATATTAATAATAATAGTAATAATAATAATAATAGTAATAGTAATGATAGTGATAGCAGTTTTTTGTTCTTGAGATATAAAATAGCTTCTTTTTTTAATTAATTTACTTATCTATTATTATCTTTTATATATGATGATATTATTAATATATTAATAAAATTTAGTTTGATTAATTAATTAATTATATCTGATTGATTGATTAACAGTTTTTTAATTCAGACCGATATTATGTGCCAGTCCAAATTATACTCAATATCGACTAATAAAATAAATTCACGTGATAAAATAATCACATGATTTGTTTCAATTTCAAGCAAAACATATAACTTTTTATAGAAAACTTTTTTTAAAAATCTGACTGGTAACTTGATAGAACTTATTCTAAAAAACAATATTACCAGTCAGTTTGTTGAGTTAAGATTTCCCGCACCATACGCAGATTCTAATCTGTATTCCTATATATTTTATTTCTTAAAAATCACATGATCAACACTTTTTTTAATTTTATGTATACGTGCACATAAATTTGCTTCAAATTCACGTTTTGTTCCGGACCTCGTGACTCAGTGTTGTGTAAATTACGTTTTTTTCCCACAGGCAAATAGCACAATATATTTTATAGAAGAACCTTCAGGAAAGTTCTAAAAGATGCAACAACCACAACCTCCACAACAATCCTACCCCGAACTTCAGCTACCAACAGTAACTAGCGAAAATCACAAATTTCCGCCGTCGTCTTCTGCTCCCTCTGCGCAGTCTAATGCCACTACTAATAAAGAACAAACGTCTTCGCTCGTCAACTCTTCTACGATTCCACTTAAAAGATCAGCGACTTCTCAGTCGCCACCTGCCAACCAAGATTACCCTGCCAACCAAGATTACTCACCACCACCTTCGCCTAATAGCACCAGTTCAACTACTACTTTTTCTCTGCCAGCTCCTTCGCCACAAAAACCTTCAAGGACTGGAAATAAAAGTGTGCCAGCTTTCCTGAATAAATTGTACAAGTATGTTACATTGGTGGTTGTTAAATCCATTAATTCATATTATAAACTAAGCATCGATTAATATCTATTAGTATGGTTAATGACCCTCAATCAAATGATTTGATAACATGGTCAGAAGGAGGAACTTCTTTTCTCGGTAAATACTTATTAATTTTGATTTTGAAAGCATTCTTATAATTGATTATTAATCTTGGTTAAATTATAATATAATAATATTTAGTCAAACATCCGCAAGATTTTGCTCGAGAAGTATTGCCAAGGTTCTTCAAACACAACAACTTTAGTAGTTTTGTGCGACAATTAAACATGTATGGATTTCACAAGATACCGCATCTGCAACAAGGAGTTCTTCAATCGGATGGACAATCAGAACAATGGGAATTTAATAATCCAAATTTCTTGCGAAACCAACCAGACCTTTTATTTTTCGTACAACGGAAAAAAGGAAAGGACACAGAAAATAATAGTAGCAACAACAATAATACTAATAACAGCAATAATAAAGATAATAATTCTGCCGAAATTGATCTCAATATAATTATGAACGAGATCACGTCGATCAAAAAACATCAAATGACAATAAGTTCAGATTTGAAGAATATTCAACGGGATAATCAGGTTCTTTGGCAAGAAACGATATCTGCAAGAGAAAGACATCGTCGACAACAAGAAACTATTGATAAAATTTTAAGATTTCTGGCTTCGGTGTTTTCTGCAGAGAAAAAACGCGCAATTATACCTAGAAAAAGGCGTTTGCTACTTGGAAATGGTGATGGGAGTTTTGGCACTGCTAATTCTAATTCTCAGGGTCTAACAACCACATCATCTGAACAGAGACCAAGCTGGACTCCGTTTGATGCCGCTCACCAAGCTGCTGTGCCGACAAATCCTACTAACTCCATACCAAATGAATTAGATTTGTCATCATGGGGATTGGCTGGTTTAGATTTAAATAATCCAGGTAATTTTTATTTTGAGTTTTTTCGATCATGTTAATAATTTATTGAATCAAAATATCTGGTCTTTCCACATGTTTTAGCTTTATCAATATTGGCATCATTGGCGGTTAATGATCCTTCACCGGGGGCAACAAATTTACCACAATTTGATTTTTTTAATAACTTGAATGCTCTACCAAGCACTTCTACATCAACAAACGAAGAAGCGAATAATCCCGCCGGTTTTTTGACTCATCAATTTTCGAATATTTTACATAGTGATCCAAATTTACTAACTGATCCATTGACAGTTGCAAATAATCAGGCAACATCAACAACTAATGACAATAATAATCCATTGGTAGCTGCTAATACGACTGGTGCATCACCTATCAATAATACAAGCACAAGCACACCAGTAACTGCAACAGCAGCCAATTCTAATCAAACGAACGCCACAAATACCAATCAAGGTTCCCTATCACATTATAACATACAACCGCCACAACCTCAAACTCAAAATACTTCAAACGCACAATCATCACAGCAAACGTCAGCAACAGCAACAGCAACAAATCAACAACAATTAACAACATCAAGATCAGCGATTAACGCAACTAACGCCTCCAATGCTTCACAACCATCAAATAATGTCAATAGTCTTCTGGAATCGCAAAGTACCAATATGCGAGATATCGAGAGTAGAATTAATGCACTTGAATCAAATCTCGATTATGTGACATCACAACTTGGATTCGATCCCGAAGAAGCTTTAGATCATGAAGATCAAGATGGAGATGCCTTCATGACATATTACGGTACGAATATACTTAATGCTGCGACTGAACAGCATCGGCAAATGTTATTTAATCTGATGGGGAGTAATGATAATAACAATTCCAATAACAATCCCGCTATTGTTCATGCCGGGAATTCTTCATCAACTGCATCCCGTAATGTCCTTAATTCTACTGTCAATGCTACTTCTACTACTCCTCCTCCTCCTAATTCCAATACTGCCACCACTATCGTTGATTCCACAACTAGCCCGACTCCAGGCACAGGAAGCACGCAAATCACAAATTCAGGAAATTCTACACCTTCATCGACACCACAAATGGCGACAACAACGGCAATAACACCGTATATTCCTCCTCCTTTGGTGCAATTACGATTTTTATTAGAACAAAAAAAAATAATGGAACAGCAGCAACAACTCATGAATAATCATCATAATAATATTAATAACAATCATAATCGTAATAATAATAATAATAATAATAATAATAACAATAACAATAATAATAAGAATATTAACAATAATACCATTAATAATAGTAATAACAATAATAACAATTCAACTATAGATCAACGAGTTGCTAAGAGATTAAAAACAGGTTTAGAAGGAAGCAGAAACGGATTTGTTACTAATAATACGCTTGCATCGAGACAAGACGACACCCTAACTATCGAAGATTTACTTGTTGATATCAGTGGTGAAGAGGAGGATGATGATCCGTACATTGCTGGTTTATCAAGTTTACCTGAAATATAAGCTATAAATTTGGAAATTTATGATCATCAATATGAGTGGTAGGTTCTGCGAATATGGACTGTACAAAAGCAAATTTATATATATATATATATATATACATGAAGAATTCAATGAATTTTTGTCAAATATCTAATTAAATAGATTTTTTAATGTATACAAAAAAAATATTTATTTAAGCGTATTGAATAATCCAATAAATAACTACATTAATAAATCTAATGTCCAGTCTAAAAGTCCGAGGTATTTGTTTCGAAAGCCACAAATATGCATTAACTATATAAGAAAAATATGCCTCTCGGAAAAAGTGCTATAGTCAGCATTTATACTAACAAGTAGGATGTTTCATGTGCCAAAGCATATTAATTATTGTCCTTTTGTTTCTTTAATTCACCCGAACACGCTGCAAAATGCAATGTTTCAAATCGTCAATTTTTTACTAAAACACCACCCTCTTTCCTCCTTGATTACATTATACTGGAGATTACTTCTTCCACGTCAAAACGTAATTTGTAGCACGCGCCTTATCGTTGCGCAATTAGACTAAAAGATCTAAATTCGACGACTACTAAAAACCATTAGGACCTTTTTTTTATTTCCCCTTTATTAATTTCTTACATTATCGATTCTACAGTCTACCCCCTCTATAAGCACCTCGGCATAGTCACTCTGTTCTGAACCACCAAACATATGGCTATTAAATTCCCCTCCCCCCCGTATAAACACACCTTTCTACAATCACATCATCACTGGATGTGCCTATAGAGGGGGTAGACTGTAGAAGCTTTGTTTTTTTAAGTAATACTTTGTACACTATTCAATACTATTTTTCGTTGTTTTTACATAGAGAATGAGATAGCTAGTGAGAATGGTTTAAATGGATTGCCGAACTTCCTCGTAGTCACGTCCTCATTGCTGTATATTATTGAAATAAAATGGCTCGAAACAATCACTGGCAAGAATTGCATCTACAGTTACCCTCCAACAACGCAGATGTCGTTTCCTTCACGAAAAACCGGCTTTTATGACCGATTAAAAATAGCACAGCAGCAAAATGACTTTGTTCGCCGCGTTTGGAATTGCGTGTTAACACAGCGACTATCTAGTATAGACGCAAAAGTACAGCCTTTTTCCTTTTAGTTCTTTACGTAAAATTGAAAAACAATTTCTCTAAAATAAATACAATCGACAATTTAGGACATTCAATATGATGTAATAATGGGATCAACTGCGTGTATTCAATAAGATGTATTCTATTAAATACATATACAAAATTATCAGGAACATTACCGTAATTCGCCATGCGAAATACCCCTTTATAGTGTATCCAAACCCCCCTCCCCTTTTTTTTTCTTTTTTTATTAAATGTAAGAGACCCGAGGTATTTTGCACGGCGAATTACGCTACTATATATATATCGATATCTTATTGAGAGATCCTATTAGAATAAAGAAAAAAAAAAGCTAAACCAAATAGCGGATAATAAACAAATAAAAATACTATTATATAAATACTATTAAGCAAAAAAAGTTAAGGAAAAATTAGTGGGGCTAAATATATATTTGGATTCTTCGTGGTTCTATAAATTATAAACTTGTCGGGGAAAATATAATTGAGGCGTAATGATGATTAAGAAACGGAGAAATTAAGTAAAAACGGCAGGTAACCGGTAAAAATATATGGTTGTAGCCAAAAACGTCAAATAACCCGAAACTGTTTCAGCAACAAGATCCACCGTTCCCATTAGCGTTATTAGGTATAATGTTTCCACCAGGTTGTAAATGTGTTCCTACTTTGATACCATTGGCCTGAATATTGACCATTTGTAAATAATTTTGTCAATATGTTCATGATTAACATTTATGAATATTATTGATAGATATATGATTGTTTACCTCATTAGATACATCAAAGATACCCTGCTTAATCTTATCATAAATATCCCTTGCAGTAGCAACAAATGCTTCTTCGACATTTGCTGCAGTTTTCGCTGAAGTTTCCATGAAAAATAATCCATGCTGTTTGGCAAATGCTTCGCCCTCTTCGTGTGATACAGCGCGTTTTGACTCGAGATCACTTTTATTACCGATTAACATTATTGTTGTGTTAGAGTTTGAGTGTTGGCGTGCATCTTCTAGCCAAGTTAAAAGATGATCAAACGTGTCGCGTCTATAATTGATAATGCTAAATTAATCTCCATTATTAAAAACGAAAACAGCAATAACTAGAATTAAGATTTAAAAATATTACTTTACCGAGTGATGTCATAAACTTTTATGTATATAAATTGGAAGTAAAATGCGTCAAAGAAAGAATCATGAAAGCACAATATAGATAAAACTTTAAATTTACCTAGCAATGCGCCAGCAGCGCCACGGTAATAGCTCCTCGTTATACTTCTGAAAGATTCCTGACCCGCCTATGTTATTGAAGAGCGGATATATGCGTGCATTTAATAACATTTCATATAATAATCATCATCTCTGATTCTGGTTCATACCGTGTCCCAAATTTGAAGTTTGATCTGCTTTCCTTCAACCTTTTTTTTAAATAAACAAAAATTGTTTAGCATTAAAAATACATAATACATAATTAGGAGAACATCAATCTTTCTTACATTGACAAATCGTGCACCAAACTCCACACTAAAATAATCAAAATGAGCAAATGAATTTTTAGAATCAATTCATATTTATACAAAACGATAAATATCCATACTGATTTTTAATTTACCCAATCGTCAGATCATGTGCTGGCTGAAAACGCTTATCCGTAAATTGTAGAAGTAGACACGACTATAGCGGCGACAAAAACGTATAAAGGCAAAAATATAAGCTTTCTTCTGATTAATATGGTGATCAATACAATGAATTCTATATGGAGCTGTGGAATTTTTCAGTATAATTGATTTCGTAGGAGATATATTCCAATTGCAGAGGGTATTTGCCGCAATTTAAAATTCAGTTCGTGTATATAACCGCTTATTATTAGTGCGAATCCTCATATGAGCCTACTTGAGTCAACATACCTTGCCGACACCTAATTATTTATACTCGAATTAATTTTGACTTCACAATTACCAAAGAATTTGTATTCATTGCAAAAAGAGTAACGAAATACCAGTGTCTCCAATGATTATGTACTATTATGCATTGAATTAGAGAAAAGGTGACAACAGAACAAAGACAGTAGAGTGGTTACGAAATGTACGAAATGAAGCAAAATAAAAAAGAACAGGGATAGGGGATGCCTGAAGAGAATAATACCTTGATGATGTAGTCATAAGTAAAGTTTGACATTTGTACTAATAAATTAGCGCGAGGGTGATTTAAAAGTGATTTGAAATGAGTTTGGAAAAGAAAATAATATGTATGTTATCTTGACTTTCTATAATTCGTGTAGAATATCTATAATTCGTGAGAGTGACTGAAAGTAGTGTTTAAGGTAGTTTAAGGTGATGTTGCAATTAATTTTATATCTAGATTTTGAGATACGAGATAACATGATCTCCAACAATGTTTAGCACGTGGTGAAAATGCTCTTTGCTCTTTGATGATTGATGCAAATCAATATACTGCTATAAAATCTTTTATTGTTTGTTTTTATGGTTTCTACAACTTTTTCACAATGTCACAGTGGCTACCACCTGGTGAGATTTTCTTTTTACGTTAAGCTCATAATTACTTTGCATGCGAGATTCATGCAAATTAAAAGTCAATTCAATTAAATCTTGTCAAAAAGAAATATTTACAACCAATTTGCAAATACAAATCAGCTCATTTTCAAGAATGAATTTTGCAATTTATTTGAGCAGGTCAATACCCTCCTGCTTCTCAACCAACTTCTTACTCAAGCTATCAGGGACCTCCAGCAGGCCCTTCTAACCAATACGTTCCGGCTATTCGGCCGCCCTATCAACGACCACCTTTAAATTCGACGAACTCACCGTCCAATGACGAGTTGTCTGTTTCTTTTGATAATCTTGCAGTTAGTTTGAGGGGTACTGCTGGGCCAGGAGAATTAGATAATTTCCAGAGATCACTCTCATTGCTTATGCATGATTGCTCACAATCTAATATTCAGGTGAGCTGAATTTTTATTCTTTGTACTTCTAATTTTTTGATTACCAAAAGATTTTTTCGTTTCTTATTCACAAAATTTGATTCAAACCATTCAATTCAATAATTTGACAATCTATGTCGGACCGTCCGTCTTTCCATCTCTGTGTTAATAATGTAGCGTGGAAAAACATGGATATTTGATCATTGCACAAATCCGTCACAATTTGAAGTTCTAGCTCGTTTTATAATTTCATTGTCAAAATCACGTCCGTTATTTGAAGATAAATTACATTTAATATACCTAATCAATGACGTCCTTTTTCATAGGTCTGATAAAATTATATATATAGAGAATACATTTTATTATCATTATTATTCTTTATTATTATCACCACCTTTTTTAATTAATAAATATATTCAAAGTTACATGTATTTAGCAAAAATTCTTCTAAAAATTTGTTTATCACAGTGAACGTCGACAAGAACCTTGGATAAAAGAAGCATTACATCCGCATTTACATCATTTGCTCCGTGCTGCTTATCATTTTTTGGATGCTACTGAAGCTCAACAAGAGAAAGTCTTGAAGGTTTTTGCGTTTTTGGTATTATGCATTATTTGATCATCACATATTGAGTCGTCTTTATTTTCATTAAAAAAGGTCATTTCTATATGGGGTGATAAACATTATTTTGACGAGACAAAGATTAATAATTTGAAAGCCAGTGTCTTAATCCCTCCTCCTCCGCCTGGACAACCTCCGACTTCAAATTTTTCTGGTCTTTCACATGGGCAACACAACTTTGGGAATACACATTATACGATGCAACAATCTATTCCTCCTTTCTATAATTCAAATTCTGTATCCTCACCACCACCGCCACCTTTATTTCCTGGATCACAGCCATTGCCTCCGCCGCCACCACCACCACCTCCTGGACCCAACATCACCTCTAATTTATTACCTTCACATATTAGGCCTATCTCAGAACCTGCTCCCCCTGGAATATCATCGCAATTTCCACCACCTGGTACTTCTCCGCCACCACCACCATCTATACCAATTCAAGGAATGATGCCTCGTCCTGCAATTCCTCCGCCTCCTGCAATACCTCCAGTTCCCGAAAAGAAGTATCACGAATTACCGGCAGGATTAATGGTACCAGCAGTTTCGGTATGAGAATTAACTTTGAAACCTATATTTCTCCATGCTTTATTCCCTCTTACTGTTCTACTTATTTGTCAGCTCTCTTAGGCTGAGAATCCACCATATACTCCTATCCCTGTGGCCTCTATTAGAATTCCGCCGCATCGTTTACCGCCTACCCCTGAATTACTGGATGCCTTGGACAAATTTTATGAAGGATTAAAATTAATTACGCCTTCACCGGAAGAAGAGAATAAAGATAATTCGACTACACAAAAGGAAACAATTGAGTTAGATAAAGATGGATGGGAAAAAGGATTTCTCGATAGTTTTTATAAGGATTTACAAGTGCGTCGAGCAACGGCCGCTGCCAAAGCAGTCTCCGAGAGACATCGCATTCGTATGCCGTATCAACAACGTAATAGGGAAGATCGAGGAAGAAGATGGTCAAGGGATCGAAGTTATTCAAGATCTAAATCAAGATCAAGGTCTTCCTCACGAGTTCGATCAAGAAGAATTAGAAGAAGACATAGTTATTCAGACTCATCGAGAAGTAAAAGTAGAGGTCGATCCCGAATTCACGGAAGACATAGAGTCAGAAGTCGGAGTAGAAATCGTTCTAGATCAGGATCTAGGCATCGATATAGAAGTCGTAGCCGTTCAAGGAATACTTGGAGAAGAACGCGATCACATTCAAGGACATCATCTTCTCATTCACGGTCTCGTTCGAGAACTAGAACAAGGTCTAAATCACGGTCACAATCAATATCAAGGTCAAGATCTAGGTCATTATCTAGATCTAGATTGAGAATGAGATCAATGTCAAGGTCTCATTCTAGAACAACATCGTCATCTCGATCTTATGATCGCAGTAGAAGCTATAGTCGTGATAGGCGTAAATCTAGTGAATATAGTTCATCTTCTCGACGACGTCGGCGTAGTAGATCATATAGTAGATCAAGGTCGAGAACTCCGCAATTTTATGGTGGTGGTGGATTGGGCTATACTGGGCAAGGAGTGCTAGGACAAGGAGATGAAATTGCAAGACCGGACAAAATGATATCAGATCGGAATGTTGGTTTTCAGATGTTGAAAAAATTAGGTATTTTTTTTTAAAATTTATTTTAATTTGAATATCCTAAAAATCTCAACAGGGATAATTTGATTTCATCAATTTTTTTTAGGGTGGGAAGGTGCTGGCACAGGTTTAGGTTCATCTTCTACTGGAATTGCTGAGCCTATTAAAGGTGGTGAAGTTAGGCACGGAGAACAAAAATATCTAGGGGTGGGACATGATCGAGGTGAAGGGGATGACATTTTTGATCAATATCGTAAACAGAAAAGTTACACATATCAAAGAATAGATGCACCCTCAAAAGATAAGCCTGCTGGATGTTTTCGATGCGGAAAAGTAGGTTCAATGGGCATATTTTATATTTCTTATATGGATCAAATATTGAATGCTTCCTTTTCATTATGTATAACAACAGCCAGGACACATTGCTCGAGAATGTCATGCAATTGGACCGTTTCATTAACTTGAATGGTAAACGTGAATTTATTTTGAATGTTTATTCTCATTATTAATTCACTCCTTAACTCGCTGTCTTTGGAATTTTACACAGCACAATATTTAATTTTTGCAACTTTGGAACATGCAAAATTATTATTTTTATCATCAAATACTACAGATTTTGTAGACTATGTTAAATTAGGTTTATTATCGTCTATGCTTGACTCAAAAATTAAGATTTGCCAAAACTTTTTTCATCTTTGCAAGAACCATCCAACAATGGTTGTTTCACCTTCATTATTTTTATTATTATTTTTGTTGTTTATTTACTAGAGGCGAATTCAAACCTTGCTTGTTTCGTGCTATTTCGATCACCAAAAACTATTAATTGGTATTAAATAGATTAGAAATTTTCGAATTTCGAATTGTACAAGAAAATAATTCTGACGTGATGATAACAGCGATAATAATACCTGAATCCTGAGAACTTTTAATAAAAATAGGTAATGAATTAATCGCTCGTTTTATTATTTATTTCAATGAGTTAAAGAGATGAATTACCAAGTATAGTATTGCTCTCTTCGTAATCTCCACGAACGTCTTTACGTAACAACGTCCCAAAATTGTAATCCTCAACTCTATTCTCGTATTTCGACATCCATTCACGCCACTTATTTTTTGCCTCTGATGATTTTAATTCATCCTCATTCAATACATCTATACGCAGATCTGGGAAATTCTGCGTGAAATCCGCGTAGATTTCATCGTCAATCCTTTTTTTACATCATCGTTTAATAGGTTAGATTCAAAGATATTATTACTTTGCGAGCGGAATTGAGAGAGAAAAGAATAAAAATAGATAATGTACGGTGTTAGGTGAAGATTTTTGCCATCAATGGAAGTTATTAGTTTGAAATAAGTTTCCGCATGGTGAACGGCTTTTACTACCCACTGCTTTTCTGCAAGTGCAACAAATTTCTGTTGTGGTGAACTCAAAATAGTTTCTCACATAAGCACACACACTATTAAATGTATTACTAATATATCGTTTTTATTTTCTCTAAATATGCTTTAATGAACTTAATAATAATGATAAGAAAGGATGTCCGAATACCAATGTCAGGATGATTTTCTTGGAGTTCTTCAGCGGGAGGTAAAGACATTTTCGGAAAAGGCTCGAATGCGGTTATGTCGTCAGTGTTATTTAATAAAACAATCGGGGTCCTTTTGCAAAAAAAGCATGTTTGATCATCCGTTTTTCCTAAAAAAAACCCAGGTCATTTGAACCAATTGTAACCAGTTTGACAAATTAACCCCAGCCACATTAATTAAACTCCCGAGCTAAATGCTTTTCGAAAGAATTTGTAGAAAATCCTTCACATTCGTTGTCTTTGGTTGATCATTTTATCTGGTAGGATTCATTTGTGAACCTTGAAACGTTCAAAGTACTTTTGTCTCACTCTTTTGTCACTGTTTTCTTCTCTTCTACTCCGCGTGTCCGCCTATTTTCGTCGCTGCAACCACATAAAGTTGTATTTGCACACACTCGAACCTTCTACAAATGACAGAGACCGCACCACTTTCAAATCTAGAGAACACGGGACCGGAGATTCACAAAGATTTTCACCCCCATGTTCATGTTTTTGAGAAAGTTCCAGAACCTTCACCAGTAGTATCCACACCAGTAAATTCAGAAGATAAAAGTCCACCTTCGCACGAACTCTCCGATCAGCCTAATGCTGAACAAGAAGCGAAAGACAGCAGTTCACCCCCCACTAACCCCTCACACTCTCCTAACTCTGAAATTGAAGAAGTTTATGAAGTTGTGGAAACTTATCAAGCCTCCGAAACTACATTTGAAAGAATAGAAGATGAGGAAACGAATGAAGATTGCCCTTGTCAAAAATTTCATGTAGCACCAGGTTCGGCAACTTGCACTAATTGCGATAGGTTGGTTCCTCCTTTGGCAGAATTATATAGACAACGTTTACAGCATATTGAGGATTTGGAGGTCGCCAATACCAAAATCAAGGAAGAACATGAAAAATCCGAACAACAGAAAAACGAACTTGAATCCTTAAAAAAGAAAATAATCGAATTTGAAGATAAAATAGACTCAAGAACCGATGAATTAAATGAGCTGCAGCAACTATTAAAGGCAAAAACCGATGAATTAAATGCAAGAACCAGCGAAATAAATGATTTGAAGAAAGCAATGACGGTACTGAATGAGAAATATGTTGATGAAATCGACAAAGTCGCTGAATTACAACACTCTAAAGATATGGTCGAAGGAGAGTTGGAAGAATTAAGTCGTTCACTTTTTGAACAAGCGAACGGGATGGTGGCCAAAGAAGCCAAACAGCGGCATGAATTAGAGGTTCAAAGAAAATCATTAGAAAATCAACTTCAAGAAACCAAAGAAAGATTATTGGCTGAAAGTTCTCAATTACAAGAATTACGAGAACGAATGCAACAAATGGTACAACAACAACCAGAACCCGATAGTAGGCGCTCTAGTAATCATAGTGATCCTACATTCAGAGCCTGCAGTGATTTCGTTGAACTTTACCGTCTTTGGGAGAAATCTCCCGATGCAGCGGCAATATTACCACGGCCAACCGGAGAAGATGGGATTGGTATAGATGAAGAATTGCTTTCCGAATTTAGGGACTTTGTTAATCAGAGCTCATCTATTCCAATTAAAAAAATCCATAACTTACAATTTATGAAACATTGTCTCGAGGAAGATGTGGAACCTTGCATGCGATTTGGTAACAATCCAAGAGTTCAAGCTCGTAAAATTGTCGATGCTATCGCCGCCAATACGTGCTGCATTGAGGAGGCACCTTTTGGGGCTGATAAAGAATTAGAGTTAAATCCTACTTCACCGATCCGTAATTCGGCGGCTAAACCAATATTTTGGGGATTTCCTGCAAATACCAATGCAACACCACGTGCTGGCTGTCAATGCTGTGGTCGACCTGGCTCACTACCATTCCAATTTCGTATTACCACACTTGATGATTGGTCATTAATTGACCGATATTGTCGCGATAGACTAGTTGCAGTATGCGAGTTTTACGTCTTTATCCGTAATATTCATCAAGGCTTCTATGGTAATCGAAAAATTGAAGATTTATACGCAGAATGCTTGCGCCTGAGATTGCAAATGTTTTATGCAAGGCTTGGAGCTTTACCTTCCATTCTCAATACTCTTGGAATTAAAGGAACTGAGTTGGCATCGGCACGAAAACCATCATTGCCAATGTATGAATTTAGTGAAAAACAAATTAATCGAATTGACGATGGTGTATACGAAGAATCAAATTATCCAAATCTATCAAATGGAAATACACCATCTACACCATCAACACCCTCTTCACCTACTGAACCTGCAATATCTGTGTCTCATCCTAGCGCACCAACACCTGTTGCTGGTATTACAGGATAGAAGAAATATTTATAAGCGCATATACACATTAGTTATATTTGCTTATGCTAACTATGAAATGTTATGAGTAATTTAATTTCCGTTTTCAATCAATTCCTTTATTTTGAGAGAAAAATTAATGAGATAATTAGAATCTTTGGGGTCTCTCTTATCCACCAGGTTTTTCAATAGTAAACGACCAATTTTCGGCATTACCACGCTAAATAATATTTTATTTTTCTTTGATCAGCCAAAAACAATAGTGTAGTACAGTTTATAGACTGTTCAACACTTTCTTATTATTTTGATTTGTTTTTTATTTCTGTTACATTTAGTCAGTAATATTAATGGTATTAAATCTATTTTTGGATATTTTTATGTAGAGATATTGTTTTTTTTAGTATTTTAGTTTGAATTTCGAAATTTTATTTATTGAACAATCGGGTTTTACTTTATTGCTTTGTATAATCATGATGTAGTATATTTTATTTCCTTTTACACAAAATCTAACCTTTTTACATATTATTATCGAGAATATTTTGCAATGACTTGCATTAGATCCCAATAAAATAAAATAATTAAATTGTTACGAGCATGTGTTCTTAGGTTCGTCTGGACTAAATTCGTTATCAGGGTCATCTCTCCGAACCAAACGCATATATCATTTCACATGCGAATTAACAACATTTTATAGGAATAATAATCAAATACATCTTTGAGAAATCCAGCTTTTTTATGCATATAATTTTATCTTTTTCTTACAAAAAAAACTTATATAAAAAAATTCGATCATGAAAAATAAATTTTACTTAAGTATAGCCATACATTTTTATAATTACAACATTAGTAATTTTTGAGATAAAATGTGCTTATAAAGAGAAAAGTACACAGTCAGATCCCTCTATATAGTCACATTTTTTCATATTAAGTATGATGACTATAGAGAGGTTTAATTGTAATTATAAAAAGATTTATATATATTTTTAATTAGTTTAAATTTTATAAATATAATTATAAAGATTTTTACTATAATATGCTTTAAAAGAATGATTTTAAGAGATATAATAATATTAGAAATTATTATTTTAATATAATTAATAATAATTACTTTGCTTAATTATATAGTTTTAATTAATATAATTTTATTTTTTAAAATTTAAAATTAAAATTTTATTTTTATACTATAAAATATATATAATATTTTAGATAATATTTGAAAATAATTAATATCATATTATTAATTAATGATTATATATTTATAATAAAAATTTTAGAAAATAAATAATTTTTAAAATTATTTTATTATTTTTTTACAAGAATTATATTATATTTTATTGAATAATTATATTAGAATATACTTATTTTCATTATGAGTTTTTATTATTTTTATTATATAATTAGTATTTTAAAAAAAGTTTGATTTAATTCAAATCTTGAATTTAAACTCAAATTAGACTTGAACTTAATCTTGTATTTTAAATTTGAAATTTGAATTATATTTAACTAAAAAAATTTTAAACTCAAACTTAAATTAAATTGAATTTAAAATTTAAATCTGATTTGAATTTAGTTTGAGATTAATTATAAGTATAATAATAAAATATAATTTTAAATATGAATTATAATTTTATTTATAAATATAAAATATATTTGCTATATAAAATTTTAATTTTAAATAAATAAACTTAAAATATTTTTATTTAGATAATTATAAATATAATATATATTTATAAATAATAATATTTATTATAAATTTTCTTAATAAAATTTGTAAGTTTAAAGATAAGAATTATAATTTTACTTATAATTTATTTTATATAATTCTTAATAAAAAATTAAAAATATTTTTAATATTTTTAATTTTAAATAAAAAATAATTTATTTTAAATATTAAATATTTTAATAAATATTAATTTTTTATTATATAATTTCTTATATTTCAGAAGTTAAATTATAATTTTACTTAGAATTACTTTAATAATTTAATTTAAATTTGAATTAAACTTAAACTTAAATTTTAAATCAAATTTAAATTTAAACTTAAATTAATTTAAATTTTAAGTTTAATTTAATCTTTTAAATCTGTTTTAAATTTAAATTTAAGTTTAATTTAAATATAATTTAAAATTTAAATCAAATTTAAACTTAATAAAAAGTTTAGTTTAATATTTTAATTAATAAAGCTTATTATCAAAAATTTATTAAATTTATTATTAAATTTAGTAAAGAATTAGTAATATTTTGAGAGTATTTTGATTAGAATAAGATTAATTCTTTAATATTAGTAAAAATAATTATAAATTTAGATATTTATATTAATATTCTTGCTAATTATTTTATATTTTGAACTTATTAATATCTATATATTATATATTATATCTTAATATATATAACTTAATAGATATTAATATATAATATTTATATTTTGAATTGAATTAGTTAAAGTTTTGATTTTAATTTAATTAAATATTTATAAAATATTTTAGACTATCAGATTTAAAAAAAAGATTATTATCTATATTAAAATAAGAATTAATTTATATATTACAAGAAAAATAAATAAATATTAATTTAGAAACTTTATATAAATTAATTTTAAATATAATTAATATATAAATAAAGTTATTAAAGTTAATAATAAAAATATATTATATTAATTTATAAATTCTTAAATTTAAATTAATATAATTATATATTTACCATTTTATTTTTTTTTAATTTATTATATATTTAATACAGTTCCCGGCGAAAGTAGTGGCGCGTAACGTTTTCGTCTATATTTTAATAATGAAGTATCCAAAACTCACGAAAGTTTGTA